CCTGGCATTGCTCTTAGTGCTCAGGGTTGCTTTGGCTATCTTAGGTCTTTTGTGATTCCATATGAATCTTAGGATGTTTTTTTCCAATGCTGTGAAGAATATCCTTGGGATTTTGATTGGCATTGCTTTAAATCTATAAAATGCTTTTAGTAGTCTGGTCATTTTCACAATATTAATTCTTGCAATCAATGAGCATGGAAGGTCCTTCTATCTTCTGATGTCTTCCTCAATCTCTTTCTTTAAAGATTTACAATTTTCATTGCAGAGCTCTCTAAGGTCTTTGGTCAGGTTTGCTCTGAGATATTTTATTTTTTTGCAGCTATTGTCTACAGAATTTTGTAGATTAATTTTGTAATCTTCCACTTTACTGAACATATTAATAATTTCTAGGAGTTTTCTGATGAAATTTTTGGCATCTCTTAGCTATATCATGTTGTCTGCAAAAGGGGATTAATTTGCTCTCTTCCAATTATTACTCCTTCAATTTCCTTCTCTTGTCTTATTGCTCTTGCAAGAGTTTCAATCACTATGTTAAAAAGAAGTGGAGTTAGTGGACAGCCTTGCCTCGTTCCTGATTTTAATGGAAATGCATCCAGCTTTTCTCCATTTAGAATGATGTTGGCTGTGGGTTTGTTGTATATGAATTATGTTGAGGTATGTTTCCTCCAGTCCAATTCTCTCTAGGACTTTGAATATAAATGCATGTTGAATTTTGTCAAAGGCCTTATCTGCATCTATTGAGATGACCATGTGTTTCTTTTCTTTGAGCCCATGTGTATGATTTATGACATTTATTGACTTATGTATATTGAACCAACCCTGCATCTCTGGATAAAGCCGACTTGATCATGGTGGATGATCTTTTTGATGTGTGTCTGTATGCGGTTTGCAAGTATTTTAAGTTGAGAATTTTTGCGTCTCTGTTCATTAAGGATATGGGTCTATAGTTTCCTTTTTTGCTTGTGTCTTTACCTGGCTTTGGTATTAGAGTGATGCTGGCTTCATAGAAGAATTTGAAAGTTCTCACTCCATTTCTATCTTTTTGAGTAAATTTAGTATTGGATGTAGATCTTCTTTAAATGTCTGGTAGAATTCTGCTGTAAATCCATCTGGTCCTGGGCTTTTTATAGTCAGGAAGTTTTGTATTACTGTTTCAATTTCCTTATGTGTTATGTCTCTGTTTAAATTGTTGATCTCTTCTTGGTTTAACTTTGGTGATTTCCATAATTTTAGCTATCCATCCATTTCTTTTAGATTTTCAAATTTTGTAGTGTATAGGTTTTTAAAATATTCCCTTATAATGTTCTGGATCTTTTGGGTGTCTGTCGTGATGTTTATTTCCCTTTTCATCTCTGATTCTGTTGATTTGGTGGTTCTTGTTCTTTCTTTTGGTTAACTGGGATAGCGGTCTGTCAATCTTGTTTATCTTTTCAAAGAACCAGCTCTTGGATTTGTTGATTCTTGGCATTGTTTTCTTTGTTTCTAGTTCATTAATTTGTGCTCTGAGTTTGTTATTTCTTTTTATCTGCTGCATTTGGGTTTCATTTGTTGTTGCTTTTCAAGTGTCTTGGGTTGCAATGTTAAGTCATTTATTTGTGTTCTGATTTTTTAATGTAGGAACTTAGAAAGGACTGCTTTTTAGTGTGTCTCAGAGGTTTTGTTGTGTTGTTTTCTTTTAGGTCCAGGAATACTTTATTTCTTTCTTAATTTCTCCTTTGACCCATTCATCATTCAGGAGTGTGTTGTTTAATCTCCATGTATTCATGCAGTTACTAGGGTTTCTTCTGGTGTTGATTTTAAGCTTTATTGCATTGTGGTCTGATAGAATGCATGGAGTTATTTCAATCTTTTTGTATTTGTTGAGGTTTGTTTTGTGCCCCAGTATATGGTCGATTTTGGAGAAAGTTCCATGGGGTGCTGAATAGAAAATATATTCTTTGGTACTTGCGTGGAATATTCAGTAAATGTCTGTTAGGCCCACTTGATGTATGGGATTGTTTAATTAAGACATCTCTCTGTTAATTCTCTGTCCTGTTGGCCTGTCTAATGGAGACAATGGGGTATTGAGGTCCCCTACTATTAGTGAGTTGGGATTAATCTGGGTCTTAAAGTCTTGAAGTACTGTTTTTATGATGGTGGGTGCACCAGAGTTTGGTGAATATATGTTCATGATTGAAATATCTTCTTAGTCATTTGTCTCCTTGATCAGAATGAAGTTGCCCTCTTTATCTCTTCTGATTAGTTCAAAGTCTATTTTGTCATATATTAGAATTGCAATGCCTGCTTTTTTCTTAGTACCATTCGCTTGGTACATTTCTTTCCATCCTTTCACCTTAAGGTAGTGCCTGTCCTTGAAAGTGAGATGAGTTTCTCACTAGTCTATGTCTTTTGACAGGGGAGTTCAGTCCATTGATATTTAAAATTATTAATGAAAGATGTGTATTGATTCCTGGCATTTTTATTTCTGTTCACATTCTTGATATAGCTGTGCATTTCCACAGTAATACCTTCATTAAGTTTCTTTCTGTAATGCCTTGGGTATAGTTGTTCCTTTCTTCAGTTCTTTGTATTGCTTCAAGAACTGGTTTTGTGGACATGAATTCTTTCAGCCTATTTATGTCATGGGAGACTTTTCTTTCCCCTTTGACTATAATAGACATTTTGGCTGGGTAAAGTAATCTGGGTTGGCATCTGTGGTCATTTCAAACTGGGAAGACTTTGGTCTGGCTTTTCTGGCTTTCATAGTTTGCACTGAAAAGCCAGCTGTAATACTGATGGGTTTTCTTTTATATGTGACTTGTTTTTCTTTTGCAGCTTTCAGTACTGTCTCTTTGTTTTGTACGTTCAGTGTTTTTACTATGATGTGCTGTGGAGAGTTTCTTTTCTGGTCCTGTCTATTTGGTGTTCTATATTCTTCTTGTATTTATATGGCCATATCTTTCTTTAATTTTGGGTAATTTTCTTCCACAATCCTGTTGAAGATCTCGTCCATACCATTATCCTGAGATTCTTGTCCTTCCTGTATGCCTATGATTCAAAAGTTTGTTCTTTTTATGGTGTCACACAATTCCTGCATATTCCATTCTTATTAAATTTTTCATAATCTTTGCTTGAGTGGTCTAGTTCGTCCACGTTATCTTCCAGTCTTGATACTCTGTTTTCCATTTCGTTCATCCTATTGGTGAGGCTTTCTCCTGTCGTTTCTAATTGGCTTATGGAGTGTTTCACTTCATTCTTTATTTCAGCCCGAGTATTCTTCAATATTTCTAGCTCTTTTCTGAATTCATTCAGAAGTTTATCCCTATCTTCCTTCAGCTCTATGATTACCTTGTTTGTGTGTTCTTTCACTGAATTCTTTTATCATGTTTATAATTGTTATTTTGAGTTCCATGTCCTGTGTTATCTCTTGGGGGTTCTCATTGTTCTCCTCTAAAGGATGGTTGGTACTTGGTAGGGATATATTATTTTGTTTTTTCATCATTATTTTTCTCTGTGACTTTGACATGTGGATTACTTTTGTAGTTTCTGGTTCTTGTGTGAGACTCAAGCCTTCCTTTGTTGAGTTTAGGACTGCTTCTTTTTGTAAACTTTACGTGGTTTTTGGTTTACTTGTTGGGCATGAAAGGCTGGTTGGTCTAGGCTTCAGGTTCTCTCTTTTGATTTTATATTTGAGAGGCTAAATTGCTTTTGTCTTACTGCTCAGGAGTGGATTACTTTTGTAGTTTCTGGTTCTTGTGTGAGACTCAAGCCTTCCTTTGTTGAGTTTAGGACTGCTTCTTTTTGTAAACTTTACGTGGTTTTTGGTTTACTTGTTGGGCATGAAAGGCTGGTTGGTCTAGGCTTCAGGTTCTCTCTTTTGATTTTATATTTGAGAGGCTAAATTGCTTTTGTCTTACTGCTCAGGAGTTCCCACAGAGGCCCAAGTCGGATGAGGATCAGATGTGCTCAGGCTTTCTCCTAAGGTCTGGATCCCTCCAGGAAAGATGCTGGCCTCAGGAATTTGAGGCCTGGGCTGGCCTGGGAGCAGGGCCCAGGAAAGATGCTGACCCCCAGGGATGCAAAGAGAGGTGGAGGGGAGAAGAGGCCTGAGGGCTCCTGTGGACTACCAGGAGGAATTGGGTTGGTCTGGACACAAAGGATCAGGAAGCAGTGGGGATTCTGGACTAAGAGGTCAGTCCATGGGTCTGGGGTGCCAAGACAAGAAATGGGCCAGTGCCCCTGCTAGGAGGAGAGATGGGGTGGGGGAGCTGGGAGGGTGAATGAAGCTGGGGGAGTCAAGGCACAGTGGGCACAACAGCCAAACTTACCCAGGCAAGCTTCTGGCTCCAGGAAGCTGTGGGGCTGGGCTACCCAGAGATGCAAAAGGAGGAATTGGGTTGGTCTGGATACAAAGGATCAGGAAGCAGTGGGGAGCGTGGGCCAAGAGGTCAGTCCAGGGGTCTGGGGTGCCAAGACAGGAAATGTGCCAGTCCCTCTGCTAGCAGAAGAGATGGGGTTGGGGGAGCTGGGAAGGTGAATGAGGCTGGGAGAGTCAAGGTGCAGTGGGCGCAGCAGCCAAACTTGCCCAGGCAAGCTGCTGGCTCCAGCGTATTGTTTTTTCAATATTTAACTAACCGCATTCAAAACTAAAATATCATTTTATTAGAAAAAAAGTTCTAATTAGAAGAAAAGGAGAATTATTGGCTTGGAATAAAATAGTTATATAAAAATATTAATAAGTAGTCAGTTGGATGGTGTTGGAGCCACTGAATTTTCTAATTACATACAATTCTTGGGGGATGTGACACCTCCATCTGGAATGGGTGAATTGAATGCCTGCTATTAAGGTAGCTTCACTCTGGAAATACCTTCATAAAAAATTCTAGATTTCCAGAGCATGACATCAAATATTATTGTTTTCAAGTGTTAAACATTGAATAAAATACTAGAGGGTGTTGTTTTGTATCTGAGATGCCATCAACCCCAAACCAGTTTTTTTTTTAAAAGCAGTAATCAATACAAGAAAGAGTGGCCTGAGACTATAAAAGGAAACATAGGGAGCAATTTTGTGAAAAAAATCCTTCTGCAATAAAAAATAAAAACCATGATGAATCAGTAAAAAATTTCCAAAATCAGAGACATTGGTTGGTTAAATACAGTTATTTAGCTCTCAAGATACTTACGTTAGGCTCTTCTGTGTAAGCATATTTTCTGTCCAGTTGGGGCTTTAGACATTCAGAAATGTCAGTAAAAGATGTTAAATGAACCACTGTGTTCTTTTCTGATAAGTTGTTTGACCTAAATTATAGATGTGAGAACAAATAATTGGTCAGTGAACAAATCTGAATACTATTGATCTATGAGACATCAAAGAACTTTCCCAAAATGTTAGAGAATCCATGTGAACACAGAGTTAACATCACATTTAATGGTGAAAGGATGAATGCATCACCACAAAATTGGGAGCAAAACAAGGACTCCTGTTCTTTTCCACTGCTGGTCTGCACTGTACTACGGGTTCTAGCCACAGGAGGCAGGTGAGGGAGAGACAGAGGGTGTCCTGACTGAAAAGAAAGATTTTGTTATCTTTACTCTCAGATAATACAAAGGATCTACTAAAAAAAAAAAAAAAAAAAACCTGCTAAAATAATTGAGTTTGGTTAGATCATAGGATATAAGCAAAAATATACACAAATCAATGGTAGTTCTGTATATTAGCAACAAACAGTACAAAAATGAAAACATTTCCATTACAGTAGGCTTAAAAAAACAAAATGTTTAAAATCAAATTTCAGCAAAATCCTCTTAACCCAGTGCCTTTGAACTACTATTCCTTTTTTTTGGGGGGGGGGGGTTTTTTGAGACAGGGTCTCTTTTTAGCCCCAGCTGTCCTGGAACTCACTATGTAGACCAGGCTGGCTTTGAACTTGTAGAGATCCACCTGCCTCTGCCTCCTGAGTGCTGGGATTAAAGGCGTGCAC